TACTTCTAAGGAGCATATTTGGCTACTATATCAGAGATTAGGACATCATCCATTTGTTTCGTCGCAAAAATTATTTCCTTCTTTGTTATGGATGAATGTTTTTCAACTTCGTTGTGAAACATGTGAACTTGCACAACACCATCATGTATCATGTGCTATCAGTTTCAATAAAAGTAATTTACATTTTGTCATTCTTCATACGGATGTGCCTGGGGACCTTCCCAAGTTGCTAGCTTGTCTAGTTTTCAATAGTTTGTAACATTTATTGATGATTTTTCTCGTATCACTTGAGTTTATTGGCTGAAAGAAAAAAATGAAGTATTATCTTATTTCCAAACATTCCACAAGATGGTAATTACTAAATTTAGTGATCATGTACAAACTGTTCATTCTGATAATGGGAGTGAATATATTTATGGGGGTCTTCGATCCTATTTTGCTTAACATGGTATTATCCATCAAACAACTTGTACTGATATATCTCAACAAAAATAGGATTGCTGAGAAACAGAATCGCCATCTATTAGATGTTCCAAGGGCCTTGATGCTTTTTAAGAATGTTCCAAAGTCATATTAGAGAGATGTCATCCTCACATCGGCATACCTAATCAATAGAATGTCGTCTCAAGTTCTAAACTTTTAATCACTAGTTGAGGTATTATCTTTCTGTCCTTCCTTTTCCCTTCTTTCTCTAACTATTTTTCAATTCCTCCTCTAGTGTTTGGATGTGTTTGCTTTGTTCATGTTCCTCCTTGACTCCGAAGTTTGATCCTAAGGCAATCAAATGCATCTTTCTTGGTTATTCTCCTACACAAAAATGCTACAAATGTTATCATCCTCCTGGTAAAAAATTTGTTTCTATAAATGTCACTTTTTTTGAAATAGTAGCCTATTTCTCTCTAAAGCCTTCTCTTTAGACGAAAGAATCTAAGTGAAGATAAATCTAGGTTTGTTCTCCCATCTGCCTCATTAGTGCCTTTCTTTTCATTGGAACAAGAGCCAGGCAATAATGAAGAACCGCAACAAGAAGAATAAAAAGAGTTACAGGATTATTCAAGAAGACAGGTTGACAGGTTTATTCAAGAAGATAGAAGGATAAGACCATTACTAATCTACCACCTTGCTATAGAGATTCCTTGGGATCAGTAACCCTACTCTTCAGCTTGAGTCTGATATTCCCATTACTCTTCGTAAAAGTGTTCGAACTTGTACTCAACATTCCATATCTAACTTTGTATCTTTGCAATCACCTCTCACTCTCTTATCGAGCTTTTGAATTGCAGTTGTTCTCTTATTTCTAATAATTTATTGGATGCACTAAATGATTTCAAGTGGAAGGAAGCAATGTGTGAAGAGATAAATACACTTCAAAAAAACAATACGTGGTAACTAGTTGAGTTATCTTATGGGAAGAGGCTAGTTAGGTGTAAATNATAATACGTGGTAACTAGTTGAGTTAGCTTATGGGAAGAGGCTAGTTAGGTGTAAATGGGTGTTTGTAGAAAAACATAAGGCTGATGGCTCAGTCGAAAGATACAAGCCTAGATTGGTCGCCAATGGTGGCTTTACACGGACATATGGGATTGATTATCAGGAAACATTTGCCCCAGTGGCAAGATGAATTCAATTCATGTCTCACTTTCCTTGGCTACAAATTGAGGTTGGCCTCTTCAATAGCTTGATGTGAAAAATGTGTTTCTACATGGAGACCTGGAGGAGGAAGTATATATGGATGTTTCACCCGGCTCTAAACTTCCCATAGATGGTAGCAAGGTATACAGGCTAAAAAAATCATTGTATGGGTTAAAGCAGTCTTCAAAGCATGATTTAAAAGATTCACCCAAGCTACGTTGAGGTATAGCTATCGTCAGAGTCATGGAGATCATACTTTGTTTTTTTTTTTTTGCTGGGATCATACTTTGTTTGTTAAACACTCTTCCCACAGAAATGTGACTACACTCATTGTGTATATTGATGGAAATTAAAGGCATACTTGGCTCAAGAATTTGAGATAAAAGATTAGAAAAGTTTGAAATATTTCTTAGACATTGAGGTTGCAAGATCTAGACAAGCCATATTCATTTCACAGCGAAAGTATGTGCTTGATCTACTTAAGGAGACAAGTATGCTAAGGTGCAAACCTGTTGATAATCCGATCACGCATAATCATAGGTTGGGAGAGAATGTTAATGATACTCATAGATTAGTAGGCAAGCTCATTTATCTATTTCATTCTCGTCTAGATATAGCCTATGCAGTTTGGGTACACTCACCTTGCGAGTCATAAGGCCAGATCTAAGTGCAAAGGCAAAATTTAGAGCTATGACTCATGGTATTTGTGAATTATTATGACAGAATCCATATTATAGGAGCTTGATTTTCATTCTAAGGAACCGATGAGATTATTCTATGATAATAAGGCGGCAATCAGCATTGCTCATAATCTAGCTCACCATGATAGAACCANGACTCATGGTATTTGTGAATTATTATGACAGAATCCATATTAGAGGAGCTTGATTTTCATTCTAAGGAACCGATGAGATTATTCTGTGATAATAAGGCGGCAATCAGCATTGCTCATAATCTAGCTCACCATGATAGAACCAAGCATGTAGAAGTCGACTGACATTTCATCCAAAGAAAAATTGAGTACTGGCTTAATTTGCACTCCATTTGTGAAAATGGGAGATTAACTTGTAGATATCTTGACAAACTTAAGGGGGAGCGTTAGAGACAATTTAATCTTTTAATTTTATCTGTATTGTTATGAACTATAAATATAAGTAACAATGGGAGAGAACCTTACCTCTCTNATGGAGTATCTAGTAAGGCGTTCCACTCAATTTTTGGAAAGCTAGGCATGTGTTATATCATTGCACCAGCTTAAGGGGGAGCGTTAGAGACAATTTAATCTTTTAATTTTATCTGTATTGTTATGAACTATAAATATAAGTAACAATGGGAGAGAACCTTACCTCTCTCTTCTCTTTTTCAATCATCTTTCTTTCTTTCCTTTATATATTATTTTAATAGTCTAGACACACTTGTCCTCTATTTTCAAGATAAAGGCAAGATAGAATCCTCAGAATCTAAATAAGATGATTGGACTTTTGCTCTTGATTTTGCACACAGTTTACACTTCCACATAATGCTAGCTAACACAATCTACACTTTTTGCAACTTACTTTTGCTCTTTCTTTTCCACACAATTAAGCAAATCACCTATGTACTTCACTGAATCCAAAAACATACATGTCCGCCAACAGAAACACTCCTTGCCAGGAAGTCAACCATAGGAACGCAACAATGTTGTTTGTTGGACATCTTATAGTTTGGGAAAAACTAATGTTGTTGGAAACTTCTCGTTATACTTTTCTTCATGAAAAAGCAGAACCATATTACCATATAGTGACATTTAGATGTAGAACCCCCCCTTCCCCTCCTCTCCCAAAAAATAAAAGAAAGTAAAAAGGAAAACCTCCCTTCCGAAGCAGAGTGCATGCACAAAGTGATCCTTTTTTTCACTCTTGCTAAGTTTAAGTCTACATTGCATCAGACAGGTGCATAAAATTGAAAATCTTTCAACTTCAAGGCTTAGGGTCGAGGGAGATGTAAAATAAGGAGATGTCGGGTTTACAAAATCTAGGCTCTAATACGAAGGAGAAGGGCAAGAAACTTCATGCATTTGAATTTCATTTTATGTTATAGGGGTCTAGGGACATATGGACTTGAATCGTAGACAACAAGCTTCTGTTTTCAGTTTACAATGCGTCTTATACACACTTATACAAACAAGTGCCTTTAGCTAGTAACATTGGGACGACCAATATGTAGGCAGTAGGGTTCAAATCCCATCATCTACCATTTGATCAATCATAAAATAAACAAAAACTCTTTATTGATAATAAATGTATAGGGACATGTATCCACACACATATACCCATATATACCCGCACATGTACATAGGAATATACACACATGTATAAAGGTTGTAAAGTCTCCATATAGGGATGGCAAAGGCTTGGAGGGCAAGATGATCCAAGATGAGAGAGAGAGAAGCGGTGTCCGCAACTTACTAATGGCTTCCGTGAGTAGTTTGGGGTTTTTCGAACAAGCAAGAGGGATCTATGCTCAAGGAACTGGAAAAGGGATGAGATTCCTTGGTCTTGGGAAACAAGAATCGGAATAATCAAGCGAATGTTTTGTCATTCTCTGCTGTAATGGTGGATGGATGAGGTGAGTAAGTATCAACAAGGGTGAGTTGTGCAACCACGTAGACTGAAATGCCTAAGTGAAGTTTTATGTTGTGAAGGACACATCCAAATTTGGAGAATATCTTCCGGAGNTATTTTGTCATTCTCTGCTGTAATGGTGGATGGATGAGGTGAGTAAGTATCAACAAGGGTGAGTCGTGCAACCACGTAGACTGAAATGCCCAAGTGAAGTTTTATGTTGTGAAGGACACATCCAAATTTGGAGAATATCTTCCGGAGAACCATTGATGAATCATTCTTGGATTTCTCTTATTCCTGAGCTACTCATGGCATCGTGCCTAAGATCTGGTATAATGACTTAACAAATAACTCAGAATAATCTACAAAACCATATGCCTTCCGAATTCTTGAGGTATGGGCCAACACAAAGACGCAAGGTGCTGCCAATGGTGGCGGTACCTGCTATGAATGTACTCTAAGACATGCTTTTTTTAGCCTGAGAAGGCAGAATCCCCGTATCAAAGGGCCAACTGCAATGCCACATTGCTTACCAAGTATGATAGTGGGTAGCCACCCTGGGGCGAACTACCGTGTCTTCTCTAGTGTGAAGCCTGGTACCAAAATGGCCACCCATAGAGTAAAGGCGGTGTTGGGTACTAGGGAGCAATAGTGAGTAGTAGCATGAAACACACCACCTGACCTATCCAAGTCTGAGGAACAGTGAGTAGCTGCACTGGCTCGACAACCACATTGATTTAATTCATGTTCAGGGAGAATTAACATTTAGCCCTTGCCAACTAGAAGTTTAGCCAAGCCCAGTGTCACAGCTTTACAGGGCAACTGGGTCTTGCTGTTTTTGACTGTGCCAAACCACAGTTCACAATATTACGAGGTATATATACAACATGATGTACCCAGTTGTCAACTCCACCCTAACAATTAGAATGCAGCTGCCAAATTTCATACATTAGACTTTGAGACCACCATATTGTCACAAGCCCACTAACTGCATAAACAAAGAGAAAACAATTTGGAAACTAATGTCTAAAATAACTCGGTATAAAGCCATTCTTAAAGTACCAAAGAGTCAAAACCCTAAAGTCGACCACTGAAAAATCGAAGTATTCAACTCAACCCTAATCAAGAGAACCGAGTCGGACAACACTTCAACAACAAAAAGATGAAAAGTAAATTACAAAAAAAATTATCAAAGCAATGGCATGACGCATCCTCCGAACATAAACAAAAAGTACTGGAGCAATAAAGAAATACAAACTTTGAAGAACCTTTTTTGCCAGGCATTTGCTTTCCTTCTTTGACGTAAAATTCCCGAATATCAACCACAACCTTCCCTTGCCAATTCCTCACAGACACTCTCCGATTCTTCGAAATCTAAAAAGCAACAAAAATCAAACCCACCACAATCAAACGTAGATGAATATATATAGATATAGAGAGAGAGAGAGAGAGAGACCTCGCAGACAACGATGTCGTCGTCGTCGGAGTCATCGTTCTTGGAGGTCTTCTTGGCAGGCGCGTCATCGTCGGAGGCGTAGTCTTCCTCATCCTTCCTCTTTCCCCTCTTCGACATTTCTCTCTCTTCTGTGTGTTCGGTGCGCTAAGAAGTGAATATGACGGATGTTACAAAACCCCTGGAAAGCGGTTCGCTCCACCTGGTTGTGTATGTCCTTGGAATTGTATAGGATAGTAACACGATCCAGATCAGTTCAAGCAGTTTTGGATTGTTTAAACTACAAAACAAATTGGGTAAATTACATTCGGTCCTGAGATTTGTTATTTAATCAGAATGACCTGAGGAGGTATATGAAATTACACTTGAACCCCTGTTCGTAATACCTAACGAATTTGATAAAATAACTATGGGTAAATTACATGGACACTCTGTGATATTTCACAAATGACACTCGAACCCCAATGACATTAGAAATGAAATGTTGCTAACAAAAAGTGCAAAATGACAATCTTACCCTGCTTTTGTTACCACAAAAAAATTAATAATTCAGTTTTAAATCAAAATGACTTTAATAACCTTGTAAAATATATTTGTACTGAACTAAACCCCAAACATCATTTGTCACATCTAAAGAGAAGGCATGAGAGAGAACTCAAATCGTCTTTGACAGAAGAGAGAATCGATTGAACCCCAATTTGTGCATACTCCACTCCAAATTCAAAGAAACTCAAACCCTAAACCATTGTCACCATTCTTGAATTAGAGATACCCTAACCCTAATCCCCCATCGTTTTTATCTGTTTCAAAAACCCTAAACCTAAGCCACTCTAAGGATGTTTGGATATAGATGAAACAAACCTTTAACCTAATCTAGAAAGAGCGATGTCTGGATTTTGCTCTTCATCTTCATTACGAACATCTCATTTAAAGCATCTTGGATTTGGATCTGACTCTTCAATCCATCACAGGTTTGGTGATTAGTGGTTAAAATTAGCATATTACTATGCTCTTTTAAAACTAATTATACTTTGATGGAGTTTAAATGATGACATTTCAGGTCATAAATTGTACAAGGGACTAAAGGAAATGAACATTAAACTTTCATGCATTCTGAAGAAAATTTGGGAAAGCTTGGACCAAGCTAAGAACGTTCAAATACCAACTCACATTCGAACGTCCACTTGAATTGATTGAAGACCAGACTACTAAGATATGGCGTTTTGTAGCTAAGAAGGAAGACACATTCGAACACCAACTCAAGTTCGAACGTCCACTTGAATTGATTGAAGACCAAACTGATGAGTGCAAAACGTCAAGATGTGCATGGAGTGTGAAAATAGGTTTCCACAGAAGATCATGGGTCACTTGAGTGAGAAGGTCAGGCCCCATCTGGCGTTCGAACGCCTATAAAGCAAAGACAAAAGAAATGTTCGAACGCCCATAAAGGAAAAACAGATACAACATTCGAACACCAAGTCACGTTTGAATGTTCTCCATAGGCAGGCTACAAAGTAGTTGGCATTTCACTTGGACTTGGGCGACATACGTTATTCGTCCACACTCTTTTGTCTCCACCTTCCTCCTTGCCTATAAATACTCCCTTTGGAGAAGCTTTGAAAGGGAGTTCTTGTAAAAGACTAGAACTTGGTTTGTAAGGTTTGGACTACACCAAGAACTAATCAAGAGCTAGATGGAGGCTTAGGCTCCCATTCATATACTTAGTCTTGTATTTACTTGTATCAAGGGAGATAGATCCTATTTTGGTTGCGGTGGAAACCCTCCAAAAGTGTCTAACTTTCTTCTATTTTCATTTACTGGATTTTACTTCCATTGCTTGAGCTTCCTTCTTTTTTAGAGGAGTGAAACTCTTTCACTTTTTTAGAGTTTTACCAAAGTCATGAAGGGTGGAATGTGATTCACTCATTCTTCATCGAAGATCAGCTCCTCGTTTGTTGTACTTTACCTTGTAAGTTTTCTACGTGGAAGGATGAGCATCACTCACTTTTCTAGCTTTACCCAAGCCATGAAGAGTGAGTAGTTCCTTATTCACTCTTTAGTAAGAGGTGATGAATATGTATAAATTATTCGAAAGTTATATTTGTGCATTTCCTTTATTCTTTAATGCTTTATATTTCATTTGCTTAATGAATGATTGAATGCATTTAACAAAGTTAAGGTACTTTGTATAACTATGGGTTCTCTCTATGTCACAAACGACTCTTGCATAGAAAGACCCGTTGGTTCAAGGCAAGTACCCTAGCCATATTTTCATGACAACATTTTAATCTTCACCATTATTGTGTTTTATCTAAAAAATGAAACATTAATGTCATGGTTGGAGGCCTTGTAGAAACACTTACTTGTTCGTAGACGGGTTGAGTATCGGCACTGACAATTCTTATAAACTTCTAAAAAGGCATCAGAACCATGTACTTAATTCTCACAGTCTATCTTTATCTTTCGCTTAACTTGTTGCTGACATGGGAATTAATTGAGTTATAAAGCACAAATATAATAAATCGGATGACTAACTACATGTTCTGATCCTCGAACTAAAGGCTGACTGTTTACATTTGAATTTATCTTATATTTTGTCTAGAAAACTCTTGGAAAGAATCTTATATTCTATTCAGGAAATCTCACAACTTCAAACTCTCAAGGTTTTCAGTTACTTGGTCTCTATCACTGCTACTTCAAAACACTAATAATAGTTCTCTGTGGATTCGACTCCGGACTTAACCAGATTATTACTACAACTTGACCGTTTGCACTTGGGTGTACACATATCAGATCAAGTCAAGTTTTTGACGTCGTTGCCGGGGAACCATAAAAGGTGTTTTAAGGTTAAAGGTAAAAAGACCTCTTTTTTTGTATATTTGTTTCATTGTGTATAAATTTGTTTTAATTATTTTTATATCTGAGGACGCTCCTTACTATCAAAATTTGCTGGCAAAATATTCTAGGTTTGTGAATCAACCGGAACCACCTTCACCTAGATCAGTAGTAAACTCTTGTGAAAATATAATGACAAATGATGAGAGACGAGGAGAGGTTCCTGTGAGAAAGGGGAAAGTGCCTAATATTCGAACTCTGTGAGATTACTTAAATTCCACAAGAAATAGTGTCCCCTCTTGTTTTATCTTCCTGAAAATGCACCCCTCTTTACTGTAAAGATGGGGACAGTTCAACTACTCCCTCAATTCCATGGACTCAAAACAGAAAACTCATATCTATACATAAAAGAGTTTAAGGAAGTATGTGGAACCTTTCAAGATAATTCTAAGCTCACCAAAATGAAACTTTTTTTATTTTCTCTAAAGAATAAAGCTAAACAATGACTAAATTCTTTAAAAGCTTTTTCAATACCTGACTGGTTGGTACTACAAAATGAATTTTTCAGAAAGTTTTTTCCTCTCCACCGCATTAATGCATTGAAAAGGCAAATCATGAATTTTTTGGTCAAAGAAGGAGAAGCCTTTTACCAAAGTTGGGAGAGATTCAAGGATCTGCTCCAGTCCTGCCTGCACCATGCTTTTGAGAATTGGACTTTGGTAGGATTTTTCTATGACTCTTTGCCCACTAGACTGCGTCAATTTGTCAAAATGATGGCTCAAGCAGGGTTTATGAGCACATGTTCAGATGAGACATTCAATTTTTTTGACACCATATCTGACAGTTCTCAAATATGAGACTCAGCCTTCCTTATCATTGTTGAAACTAAACCATCTACTTCCCAAGGGGTAAGTATGTCTTGAGAGATGATGATGACCTAAGAGCAAAAATGTCTACCTTGTCTCAAAAGCTTAAAGCTTTAGAGATGAAAAAAGTTCATCAAGTTAATGTTTGCCCTCCCACAAAACAAGTGTGTGAGATTTGTGCGCTAACAGGATACTCTACTGGGGAGTGTCCAACCATTCCGGCATTCAAAGAGGTTTTGTTGGAATAAACAAATGTCATTTCCAACTTCAACGAGCCTTACTCCAACCCATACTCTGAAACATACAATCCAGGGTGGCGGAACTACCCTAACTTCAATTGGAGAAACACACAACCAACACCCAAACAAGATTCACACCCACCACCTCAAGGACCTCTCATGTATCAACCATACTAACCACCACAAAAGAGGAGCCTTGAGGATACCTAAATCAGTTTATGCATAGTCAAATGAACTATAACAATAGTTCCACTCAAGCTTTTACTGAATTCAAAACCCAAACCATTCAATCTTTCAACGATCTCAAGGGCTACATCCAAAGATTGTCCCAATCCATGATCACACATAAGAAGGGCGGGTTTCTTGCCCAACCAAAACCACCACAAGGCCAATTCTAGGTGAAATATTCTAAAATCATGGAAACTCCACAAGACCAAGACCAAGTTGANAACCTTACTCCAACCCATACTCTGAAACATACAATCCAGGGTGGCGGAACTACTCTAACTTCAATTGGAGAAACACACAACCAACACCCAAACAAGATTCACACCCACCACCTCAAGGACCTCTCATGTATCAACCATACTAACCACCACAAAAGAGGAGCCTTGAGGATACCTAAATCAGTTTATGCATAGTCAAATGAACTATAACAATAGTTCCACTCAAGCTTTTACTGAATTCAAAACCCAAACCATTCAATCTTTCAACGATCTCAAGGGCTACATCCAAAGATTGTCCCAATCCATGATCACACATAAGAAGGGCAGGTTTCTTGCCCAACCAAAACCACCACAAGGCCAATTCTAGGTGAAATATTCTAAAATCATGGAAACTCCACAAGACCAAGACCAAGTTGACACTACACTGAGAAGTGACAAGGAGATTAACAAGACCATTAGAGACATACTAATTCCCAAGCCAAAACCTAAGTCAATCCCAATCAACTCACTAGTTGAGTCTGAATTAGAAGAGCTTGAACTTGTAATTGAGGAGGAGCCTAGACTTGTGAGTGAACGAAAACTAGAACCATCAAAAGAATAAGGACCCTCGTGCCTTATTCCTGCTCCTTTTCCTCATAGACTTAAAACTGTNCCCAAGCCAAAACCTAAGTCAATCCCAATCAACTCACTAGTTGAGTCTGAATTAGAAGAGCTTGAACTTGTAATTAAGGAGG